GAACGGATTAATATGTATGCTGGGGGTCCACTGTACTTTCACCATCATTCACACTTAATCACTGTATTTGCAAAGGTGCCCAGATATGACAGTTTAGATGTTGCTCCAAACAGCCAATATCCCAAACCCCTCCTTTAAAGTGCAGGCACTGTACTTCCCACCTCCAGGACTCAAGTCTGGCTAACTGATTTCCCTGAATCCATTCACAAAATATTTCCCTGCTTACACTCCAACAGCTTGTCAGTTCCCAAAAACCATTCATCTCCATTCACTCTTATCTAACATGCTCACATATGCCTGCTGAATGTCCAAGCCCCTTGTACACAAAACCTTGCAACCACCCACGGAGGTACTACTGTCCTGCCAAATGAGTGTAAGCCAGAAACCTAAGAATAGCATTCCGACATCTCGATAAGGAATTGTTCAGGACCCTGCACACCATGTACATCAGGCCCATATTGGAGTATGTAGCACCAGTTTGGAACACACACCTGGCCAAGCACGTCAAAAAATTAGAGAAAGTGCAAAAGTTTGCAACATCCCTAGTCCCAGAGCTAAGGGGCATGTCCTACAAGAAGAGGTTAAGGGAAATAGACCTGACAACACTGGAGGACAGGAGAGACAGGAGAGATATAACATATACTGAGAGGAATTGACAAGGTGGACAGAGACAGGATGTTCCAGAGATGGGACACAAAAACAAGAGGTCAAAATTGGAAGTTGAAGACTCAGATGAGTCACAGGGATGTTAGGAAGTATTTCTTCGGCCATAGAGTTGTCAGGAAGTGGAATATTTTGGAAAGTGAAGTAGTGGAGGCAAGATCCATACATAGCTTAAAAAGAGGTATGATAAGGCTCAAGGAGTGAGGAGAATGACCTAGTATCAACCAGCAAAGAGGCAGGGCCAGGAGCTATGACCTGACCCTGCAACCACATATAGGTGAGTACACAAACATAGGATTTAGCCTGCAGCAGGTCAAGTATGTGTAGAAACTGGAAAATGTCGAAAGGTTTGCAGCCAGGCTAGTACCAGAACTGAGAGGAATGCATTACAAAGAGAAGCTGAAGGAAGTGAACCTGACTACCTTAGAGGAGAGAAGGACATGGAGGAAAGGATTACTATGTGCAAAATCTTAAGAGGAATCAATAGGGGCTGACATAAACAAATTACAGTGGACCCTCATTTTTTGTAATTAATCTGTTCCAGAGAGCATGACTATTATCGAAATTGACTATTTGCGAATCTATTTTCCCCATAAGAAGTAATGTAAATCCAATTAATTCGTTCCAGACACCCAGAAGTGTCAACAATTTCTTTTTTACCGTAAAGATAGATTTACATGCACAAAAGAATGAACATTCAGCATGACAGTTACCTTTATTGAAGGCTGTTGTTGATGCATGGAAGACAGGGAGGAGGAGAGAGGGAAGAGAGATTATTGTTTGGAAGGGAAAACTCCCTCCATAAGGACTCTAGGTCACTTCAGGGGTCACTTCCCTAGCTTATAGATTTACATGCAGAAAAGAATGCCAAATAAATGTGAAGCACTAATAAAATGTTTAAATGAACATTTAACATCACACTTACCTTTTATTGAAGACTTTTGTTGGTGTATGGCAGATGGGACAGAGGGAGGGGAGGCGAGTTTATTGCTGGAGAATATGACACTAATATCAACTCTACGATATATTTATCTATCACAATTCAACTAATATGACATAATAAACAATATTAATAACATAGAAACATGGAATATACTCTAGAATGAATAAAATAAGTCATTATGTCTGTCTCGAGAGGTGTTGTGTTGTTGTTGGGTGTATAAGGGCCACTGAGAGTAAGCCACCCATAATGGTGGTGAAGCAACAGCTGAGGCGGTGGTGTTTTTCTGTAGCCCTATATAACTCCAACAACATTGGAGGAGTTGGTAGAATTGCTTAATCACTGAAGAAGGCACCCTCTACCACCATCACAACCACTACCACCCTCTACCACCATCACTATCACCACCATCCTCTACCACAATCACCCCCACCCTCTACCACTATCACAACTGCTAGCACCCTTTACCACCATCACTACCACCCTCTACCACTATCACCACCACCCTCTACCACCATCACTACCCTACCACTATCACAACTGCTACCACTCTACCACCACTAGGTCCTCTCTCTCCCTGCTTCATGAGCTTTATCATACCTTGTCTTAAAGCTGTGTATGGTTTCTGCCTCCACTACATCACTTGCCAGACTGTTCCACTTCCTGACCACTCTATGACTGAAGAACTGCTTCCTAACATCCCTGTGACTCATCTGAATCTTCAACTTCCAAGAGTGACCCCTTGTTTCTGTGTCCTCTGTTCACCTTATCTATTCCACGCAGTATTTTGTATGTCGTTATCATGTCTCCCCTGACCCTCCTGTCCTACAGTGTTGTCAGGCCGATTTCCCTCAACCTTTCTTCATAGGACATTCTTAGCTCTGGAACTAACCTTGCCGCAAACCTTTGCACTTTCTCTAATTTCTTAACGTGCTTGACCTGGCGCGGGTTCCAAACTAGTGCTGCATACTCCAGTATTGGCCTGACGTACACGGTGTACAGTGTCTTGAAGATACCTTACTTAGGTATCGGAATGCTAATCTCAGGTTTGCCAGGCGCCCATATGCTGCAGCAGTTATCTGGCTGATGTGTGCTTCCTGAGACATATTTGGTGTTATACTCACGCCAAGATCTTTCTCACATGTGCAACATCTGGATATCTTTATTGTAGACGTTTTGCCATCCAGTGGCTTTATCAATACAAATTCTAGGACATAACTTGAAGACAGTAGGACTATATACAGAGGATGAGGTAATCAGTCCCTCAACCTTGGAGTAGGTGTGTGTGTGTGTGTGTGTGTGTGTGTGTGTGTGAGAATGTGTGTGTATACTCGCCTAATTGTGGTTGCAGGGGTCGAGTCACAGCTCCTGGCTTCGCCTTGTCACTGGCCGCTACTGAGTTACTCTTCCCTCTCCATGAGCTTTATCATACCTCTTATTTAAGCTATGTATGGATCCTGCCTCCACTACATCACTTCCCAAACTTTTCCACTTCCTAACTAATCTGTGACTGAAGAAATACTTCCTAACATCCCTGTGATTCATCTAAGTCTTCAACTTCCAACTGTGGCCCCTTGTTGCTGTGTCCCATCTCTGAAACATCCTGTCTACCTTGTCAATTCCTCTCGGTATTTTATATGACGTTATCATGTCCCTCCTCTCTCTCCTGTTCTCCAGTGTTGTCAGATCCATTTTCCTTAATCTCTCCTCATAGGACATACCCCTTAGCTCCAGGACTAGTCTTGTTGCACACCTTTGCACTTTACGTGCTTGGCTAGGTGTGAGTTCCAAACTGGTGCTGCATAGTCCAATATGGGCCTTACGTACTCAGTGTACAGGGTCCTGAATGATTCCTTATTAAGATATCGGAATGCTGTTCGTAGGTTTTGCTAGGTACCCGTATGCTGCAACAGTTATGAGGTTGATGTGTGCCTCAGGAGATGTGCCTGGTGTTATACTTACCCTAAGATCGTTTTCCTTGAGTGAGGTTTGTAGTCTCTGGCCCCCTAGACTGTACTTCATCTGCTGTCTTCTTTGCCCTTTCCCAATCTTCATGACTTTGCACCTGGTGGGGTTGAACTCTAGGAGCCAGTTGCTGGACCAGGCCTGCAGCCTGTCTAGTGTGTGTGTGTGTGTGTGTGTGTGTGTACTCATCTATTTGTACTCACCTATTTGTGGTTGCAGCGGTCGAGTCACAGCTCCTGGCCCCGCCTCTTCGCTGATTGCTACTAGGTCCTCTCTCTCCCTGCACCATGAGCTCTATCATACCTCGCCTTAAAACTATGTATGGTTCCTGCCTCCACCACATCACTTTCTAGGCTATGTGTGTGTGTGTGTGTGTGTGTGTGTGTGTGTGAGAGAGAGAGAGAGAGAGAGCACGAGAGAGAGAGAGCACAAGAGAGAGAGCACGAGAGAGAGAGCACGAGAGAGAGAGCACGAGAGAGAGAGCACGAGAGAGAGAGCACGAGAGAGAGAGAGAGAGAGCACGAGAGAGAGAGCACGAGAGAGAGAGAGAGAGAGAGAGCACAAGAGAGAGAGCACGAGAGAGAGAGAGAGAGAGAGAGCACGAGAGAGAGAGCACAAGAGAGAGAGAGAGAGAGAGAGCACGAGAGAGAGCACAAGAGAGAGAGAGAGAGAGCACGAGAGAGAGAGAGAGAGAGCATGAGAGAGAGAGAGAGCACGAGAGAGAGAGAGAGAGCACGAGAGAGAGAGCACGCCTGCCTGCCTGCCTGCCTGGAAATGTGAATGCGACTGTACAGTGGACCTCCGGTTTACGATATTATTTCATTCCAGAAGTATGTTTAGGTGCCAGTACTGACCGAATTTGGTCCCATAAGGAATATTGTGAATTAGATTAGTCCATTTCAGACCCCCAAACATACACATACAAACGCACTTGCATAAATACACTTACATAATTGGTCGCATTGGGAGCTGATCGTAAACTGGGGGTCCACTGTAATTAAGTGTTGGCACAAGAAGGAACTAGCAGCTACTGGGACTCAGGCCTTTCCGAATCTCCCGGATGCTGTCGGTCATAACTAGTAAATAACCTTAGTGAGCATGATGGAGGGGACTCCACATTGAATGCAAATTGTGCTATGGCTCTTACTGGGGCCTGAGTTTTAAGTGTGAAGGAAGCATGTGCTCCACGAGGGTACCCCATGGTCCATCAGCTAAAATATGATCAACAGAAAATGATTTGGAAAAGATTTGACAGTATAACTGTGCTGACACCAGCAGAGGAATATGTTTAGGGACAAAGTGAGTTGTAAAGAAGAAAAATATGTTTTGAAAAGAATCCTTCCAGAAATGTTATCCAATTAAATTGTTAGAGATGTGCAAGATGTTGATAGATAAGCAATTTTATGTGAATTACATTTTTCTTTTATTACAGCATGTAAAAAAAGACCGAATAGGGAAAAGACTGTCTGCTGAACGATGCGCTCATTTATTTGCTGTGTCCATTGCTAATAAACTATCGGAAGTGTGGATAGCTGATCAGCCAGTCCTCACGATCATGTATTTGTTCCAGTACTTTCCATTCCTTATAAGTTTGTAAGTATTTCTTTAGTACTCTACTAGTTAGGTTAATAATAGTGTATAATTTTTTTTAACACATTGGCCAACTCCCACCAAGGCAGAGTGACCCCAAAAAAAAGGAGAAAAAAGTTTTTCTTTTTACATTTAGTAATTTATTCAGGAGAAAGGGTTACTAGCCTCCTTGCTCCCAGCATTTTAGTCATCTCTTATGACACACATGACTTACGGAGGATGGAAGTGTTTGATATATGATGCAAATAAATTTATGATGAATATTGCAACTCAGTGGGTCATGTGAATTTTTGTTATCTTGGCACTTGTGGAAGGTTATCTGTGTTAATGTATTAAGATGAATGTTTCCTTTCTGGGAAATATCTGAAGTAGTTAATTAAATAATAATAGAGAAGGGCAGCTTTATATTACTGTGGGTTTGAATTAAAAACTACAGAGCTTTGGATTTTAGTTACTCTGGCAAGGGTGGAGGAGGGGGGAGGGAATGAGAAAGATAGTAATGTACAGTATTGAAGAAAGTTTTTAGATGCCACTAAATGTGGGAATAAAAGTTAGATATTATCAGCGAGCTTTCATCCTCTTAAGACAGACACAAGAGTGAAAAGAGTAACATACGTAGTGAATGGCAAGAAGCTGACTGCTGTAAGCAGAAACTTGAAACAAGTATGGGGTTGAACATTTTCCTGGACGATGCTTCAAACTTTCAACAGTGGTGAGCTTTGATCTAAGAAAGCTTCAGACTGATTTTAGACTGTACACTAATGTTCAAAATTCATTAAATAAATCAATTTCCAAGTAAAAACTTGATAATTTTTCTTCTGATTGGTCCATTCTAATTAGAAACATTTTTGGACTGACATTGGAATGTGTTGGTGGCAGAATGACAATTTTACTGAAGAAATTATGAAAATTGGACTTGCTTTTTTTTCAGGATTATTTTTTAACCCTTTCATGGTCAAGACCCGTGATCTCAAACTTGCTCTCGGGATGAAAAAAAAAAAATTATGAAATGATAGTGAATCTTTTCCTGATGGTAATGAAACCGAAAATACAGTAGACCAAACTCGTAGCTATTTTGCTACGAGTTTGGCCATGAGTTGGGTCACCATGGTTGTTCAGTATATTTATAGATGGAGTAGTAAGAGTAGTGAATGCTCGGGTGTTGGCAAGAGGTGTGGGGTTAAAAGATAAAGACTCTAACACAAAGTGGGAGTTGTCACAGTTACTCTTTGTTGATGACACTGTGCTTTTGGGGGATTCTGAAGAGAAGTTGCAGAGGTTGGTTGATGAGTTTGGTAGGGTATGGAAAAGAAGGAAGCTATAAGTGAATATAGGAAAGAGTAAAGTGATGAAGATAAAAAAATTTAATAATGGAAGATTGGATATCAGATTGGAGGGAGAGAGTATGGAGGAGGTGAATGTGTTCAGATATTTGGGAGTGGATGTGTCAGCAGATGGATCTATGAAGGATGAGGTGAATCATAGAATTGATGAGGGGAAAAAGGTGAGTGGTGCACTGAGGAGTCTGTGGAGACAAAGAACTTTATCCATGAAAGCAAAGAGGAGAATGTATGAAAGTATAATTATACCAATGCTCTTGTATGGGTGTGAATCATTGGTTGTGAATGTTGCAACAAGGAGAAGGCTGGAGGCAGTGGAGACGTCATGTCTGAGGGCAATGTGTGGTGCGAATATAATGTAGACAGTCCATAGTTTCGAGATTAGGAGGAGGTGCAGGATTACCAAAACTATTATCCAGAGGGCTGAGGAGGGGTTATTGAGATGGTTTGGACATGTAGAGAGGATGGAACAAAATAGAATGACTTCGAGAGTATATAAATCTGTAGTGGAGGGAAAGTGGGGTAGGGGTCAGCCTAGGAAAGGTTGGAGGGAGGGGGTTAAGGAGGTTTTGTGTGCGAGGGGCTTGGATTTCCAGCAAGCGTGCGTGAGCATGTTAGACAGGAGCGAATGGAAACAAATTGTTTTTAGGACTTGACTTGATGTGCTGTTGGAGTGTAAGCAGGGTAACACTTATGAAGGGATTCAGGGAAAACCAATGGACTGGACTTGATTCCTGGAGATGGGAAGTGCGGTGTCTGCACTCTGGAGGGGTGTTAATGTTGCAGTTTTATAACTGTAGTGTAGGTATGCCTCTGGCAAGATAGTGATGGAGTGAATGATTAAAGTTTTTCTGTTTCGGACCACCTTGCCTTGGTGGGAAACGGCCGTTGTGTTAATTATAAAAAAAATAATAATCCATCTATTCTGTCGATTGAGTACAAGAAACTGCGCATTTACCTATTTGAACTACCCAATAAAGTGATCATAAATTGGTAATTTGGCAAATTTCAAACAATATTCAAAAATTGTCTATTTAAAAAATGGGTCCAGAATAAACAATGTAGTCATTCTTGGCACTGATTCCTCTGTTCCTTAGTCACATCTTCAGGCCCTTCTTATATTACACTTCCTTTTCATTTTGAATTTTTATTCACACAAAAAATAGATATATTGTTATGCAGGCTACTGCATTATTGTAATAATTATGTAAACAATATCAGTGCATTCCTAAATATGTATTAGACTGGCAAGCTGTATGCGTATTGGACAAGTGACGTTTCCTGTGTGCTCTGGAATATTGGCAAAAATAAAACATATCCACCACTTTGAGATTAATTTCAAGCTACTTTCAAAATCATCTCTGTTTCTGTAATACATTTTCCATTCTATCAAGTGAGACCAAGAAACTGAGAATACAACCATAAAAACCATACGAAAATACACCACAAAGTCACTGTTTTGTAGCAAAAACATGGTCGCAATTTTTTTTTCTTGTGCACTGCATGCTGCAGGAATTTTTTTTATATGGTGCACACTTGCCACATAGATCCATTCTCTTATATCTAGCCCCAGATTTACTGCTCACAGCTTATCTGAGTGAGCTGAGCTCATGGCGTCATACTACAGAACGAACACTGGCTTCAAATCATTATATGATGAACCGACACCAAAATTATTGATGAATAATCTAATAGGCTTCAAAACCATCAGTGGTAATCTGTCTTACTTAGAGGAAACTTTGCATAGTTACTTGGTTGTGTAGTTTCCTGTTTGTAACACTGACACTGTAGGTACCTCTTTGTAACATTGACACTGTAGGTACCTCTTTGTAACATTGACACTGTAGGTACCTCTTTGAAACATTTTATTTCAGCCTCTCTCTGCTTTCTCCCTTTATCTCTTTCCCTGCCTTTATACTCTTTCTTTTTTTTCTTTCCCCCTTCCATACTGCTTCCTTCTTTTCTCTTCCCCTCCCTCCATACTCCTTCCTTCTTTCTCTTCTCTTCGTCCTCCATACTCCCTTCTTTCTCTCCTCCTCCTCTATACTCCTTCTTTCTCTTCTCCTCCATACTTCTTCCTTTTCTCTTTCCCTGCCTCCCTCTCTATTCTCTTTTTCCTCTCTCTCTCTCTTCATCTCCTTTGCACAGAGCATGTAAACAGATAGTTTTAACCCTTTGAGGGTTCAGGCCACAGATCTACACCTTGTCCACAGGGTTCAAGCCATAGTTCTACTCCATGAGCTCAGCTCACTCAGATAAGCTGTGAGTGGGGAAATTTGGGCCTAGATATGAGAAAATGGATCTGTGATGTAAGTGTGCACTATATAAAACAAATCCTGTAGCACACAGTGCATAATGAGGACAAAAAACTGCGACCTTGTTTTTGGATTAAAACATAGAATTTGTAGTGCATTTTCGTATGGTTTTTACGGTTGTATTTGCTGTTTCTTAGTCACATTTGATAGAATGGAAGGTATATTACAGTAATAAAGTTAATTTTGATTGGTTTTAGCACTGAAAATAGCCTGAAATTGAGGTCAAAGTAGCAGAAATGTTTGATTTTTGCCAATGTTCATAGGTAAACAAATGTTACGCATCCAATACAAGTCAACTGGTGGACCTAATATATGTTCACAAATGTGCTGGTATTATTTATATAATTATTACAATATTGCATAATGGTAAATATTCTATTTTTTGGTGTGAATAAAAATTCTTTGTGGAAATAAAAAATCAAAATGGAATTCATCTGTAAAACCTGGAAACATAACTGATAAACAGAGAAAATGTTATTTTAGTGCCCAGAATGTCTGCATTGTTTATTCTGGACCCTGTTTTGAAATTGGAATATTTTGAACTTTGTGTGAAATTGACCAAATTACCAATTTCTGATCACTTTATTGGATAGTTGAAATAATTGATTGGACAGTTTCTTGTGGTCATTCGATAAAATAGAAGTAGTATTAGTGCAGTTGCTAAGAAATTGGTCTACTGAAATAATGTAATTGGCCTAAAATAGGAGTCAAAGTGGGCAAAATCGCCAATGCGTAAATATCGCTCACGCAGTAAAATTCGCATTACTGTAGTTTCATAAATTTTCCATCAAATTTTGTACTTTGTTTTATTACCTTCAGAAAAAGATTCTCTACCATTTCATAAGAAAAAATTGAAATTTTTATTGAATTCTTTTTTTTCATCATTTCATCAGTGCCAAGTCATTGATGATTTACTGAATATATTGGTGAAACTTTTAACTACCTCTCAACCACAGTCAACAGACAGAGATAAATCTCACTTTTGTCCCTACCTGACCAGGTTCTCCAGTACTACGGTGTACAGTAAATCCTCGATATAATAGACTAATTGGGTGATTGTCCGAGTGTCTCTTAAGTCAGAATAATATTCCAAAATAGCAATAACAATAGCTAAAGTACTCTCCTGTATACCTGATATAGTCCTTTACACATAATTTGTAGGTATACTACAATAAACATTCAAAAAGTATAAATTACCCAGTGGCTTTCCCCATAATTTTAAGTCTGTTATACTGGGGTCCATTATGTCGAGGGTTTACTGTATGTACAAAGTGTTTTTGTAGAATATATATAGACTTGATAAAGCATTGTTTAGGGTGGAACATCTAATGAAAATTTTTTTTTTTGCTACATGTGTTTTAAATTTGCCGTTTAAAATATATAATTATTATTAGAATAATTAATGTTATGCTCTGAATTAACCCTTCTGGAGTCACTCTCAGGGTTGCAAAATTTAAAATAAAATAAAAAAAATTCTTATGAAATGGTAGAGTTTTTTTTTCTGAAGGTAATACAGGTCGGCCATCACTAATCTGGCAATCAGTTATCCGGTTCCATCAGTAATCCAGCACTAATTTTGGCTAGCATAATTTCAAATTTCATCATTATACTGACTCAGAAATTGTGCAGATGGTTGTAAATCCACAGCAGCAAGCCAGTAGAGGAGAAAGCAATGATGAAAATGAGGAAGATGTAGCAGAAAGAGTCTCTACTGATAGGTTAATTCAATTGATGGGTGAACTGTTGAAAGGTCTAGAGCAATGCAGTTTTATAAGTGAACAAGAAATAATGAATGTTTACATGCATGGTAAACTAATGAAAGAAAGGCCAAAATATATGAAACAGCTCAGCTTGGTTAATTTTATTAAGTGTATTCTAACCTAACCACTCTGTAATCCGGCAAACTCGCTACTCTGGCACACTACAGGTCCCAATGATGCTGGATTAGCGATGGCCGACATGTAAAACTAAAAGTACAAATTTTGATGGGAAACTAATGAAATTACTCTTACAAATTTTCTGCATCAGCAGTATTTACACATCAGCGATTTCGTCCACTTCGAGTCTGATGTTATGTAAATTCCATTGTTCCAGATGACTAAATTTGTAGCTATTGCACCATCATGTCTTCCATTCTATCAGCTGAGTACAAGAAACCCATTCAACTATTTAAACTTTCCAGTAAAGTGGCCAATTTCACACAAAATTCAAGAAATGGCATTTTCAAAATAGGGTCCAGAATAAACAAAGCAGGCATTCCTGGCATTAAAATAACATTTTCTCTGATAAATTAGACACATGTGCAACTCTTGGGTATCTTTATTGAGGAAACATTTCAAGTTTCTCCTACGTATGGACTGATGAAGCCACTGTGTGGCGAAACGTTTCCTCAATAAAGATACCCAAGAGTTGCACATGTGTCTAATTTATCAACATGTCGGTTCTCTGAACCATTCATCTACAAACATTTTCTCTGTTCATTTGTTATGTCTCCAGGCATCCCTATTATATTATGCTTGCTTTCCATTTTGAATTTTTATTTTCACACAAAATAGAAAGATGTGTTATGCAGACTACTGTATTATTGTAATACATGTAATTTTATAAATAATGTCATTGCATTCCTAAATGCATATTAGACTGACTAGTTGGATGTGTATTGCACAAGTGACATCATTTGTGTACTCTGGAATATCAGCAAAAATTGAGCATTTCCACTAATTTGAGCTCAGTTTCAAGCTACTTTCATTCCTGAAACCAATCAAAATTATCTCTGTTTCTGTAATATATCTTCCATTCTGTCACATGAGACCAAGAAACTGAGAATACAGCCATTAAAGCCATATGAAAATACACCTCATACAATGCCAAAATTCTAGTGGCTTCAGATCTTGCGGAAAAAGGTTGGAAGGCCTACATATGAGATAATAGGTCTGCGTGGTCAATGTGCACAGTATAAAAAAAAGTCTGCAGCACGCAATGCACAATGAGAAAATAAACTGCGACTGTTTTTGGTTTAAAACAGCAACTTTGCAGTGTATTTTTGTATGATATTTATGGTTGTATTCTAGTCTCACTTGACAGAATGGAAGCTATATTACAGAAGTAGAGGTGATCTTGAATGATTTACCAACTAAAAATAGCTTGAAATTGAGCTCAAAGTAGCAGAAATGTTTGATTTTTGATGATGTTCAGGAGTAAATAAAACTATGTCACGTGTCCAATACACATCAAATGGTGGGTCTGATATGCATTCATGAATGTGCTGATGGTATATATACAATTATTACAATTATGCAGTAGTCTAAATAACAGTAAATCATCAATTTTTGTGTGAATAAATATTCAATATGAAAAGCAAGCATAATATAAGAGGAGTCTGGAGACGTGACTAATGAATGAAGCAAATGTTACTTTAGTGCCGAGAATGTCTGCATTCTGGCCCCTATTTTGAAATTGGTCTTTCTTGAATTTTGTGTGAAATTGGCCAAATAAGAAATTTCTGATCACTTTTTTGTGTAGTTGAAATAGGTAAATGGGCTGTTTCTTGTAATCAATCAACAGAATAAAAGGAGTTCTGGCAAAATAACTACAAGTTTGGTCGAGTGGAATGAAGGAATTGGCCCAAAATAGGGCTCAGAATGGGCGAAATCACCAATGAGTAAACATCACCGAGACCATTAACTTTGCAAGAACGTGATTCCATAAATTTTCCATCAAATTTTGAACTTTTGGTTTCATTACCTTTGGAAAAAAATTCTCTATCATTTCATTAGAAAATATGTACTATTTTTTTTTTAAATTCTTTGACACTGAGCATGTTTGCAAGCAGGGGTCTTGACACTCAAAGGGTTAAACTAAAAACAGCTGCAGTTTTTTCTTATTATGCACTGCATGCTGCAGGATTTTTTTTATATTGTGCATACTTCATAGACCTATTCTCTCATATCTAGGCCCAAATTTATCTGGGTGAGCTGAACTCATGGTGTTGTTCTACAGGACTGACACTGAAAGGGTTAAAAAAAAATCTCAAAATACTCTGCAAAGAAGTTTGAAGTGAAGAAGTTCATATGAACACACTGATGGATGGCCATGTATTCCAACAAGTCAAACATCAAAATATTTAATTAACTGTTTGATTAGATAAGGTTAACAATAGTGTATTAAAGAGAATAACTTCATAAAATGGAGGAATTCATTATGCTTTTGTAGTCTAGAAAGAGTGTCTTGAAGTATGCAAGTGGACAAGTAAATAGATATAAAATTTTGGGTGATGAATAATTTTACTAGACAATGTCAATAGTTTTGAAGCATTAAAATAAGGCAGAAACCATGGTTGGTCATGCCTTGTTCTTTATACCTTGCTTATTTACTTTAAAGCAGATATTTTTCTATTATATTATTTCTCCATTTTCTCATAATCCACTCTGTATGCTAAGCTATTCTTTATTCATTGTACATAGTGTTCATGCAACACCATTAGTGGTGTTCACACATCCCATGGAAAATTAATGTTTCTAAGTGAAGTATGAAAGTTGTTGAAGGTATTCACCATCATGGTTTTTGTATACGTAAGTGTACACAGCTAATGTAGACCATCAGTGCTTAACTGTGTATGACACTAATAGGAATATACTGTGTGTGTCTTATGAAGACTAAAAAAGAAAAAAAATGCTGTGAATTGAACCATCATTCTTGTACTGAATTATTACTGAATTAGTAAGAAAAATAATGGGTTGCAATCGTATCTGCTTTCTCTGTGGTTGGCAGTTCTTTGTGAACATCATTGTTTTACAATATTTCATTTTCAGCTCATTTTTTTTGTCAGCATTGCCCTCTCTCCATTACTTTTTTCTTTTTCCTTATTATGCTTTAATTCCCTCCTTAATATTATGATTGTCTTTATTACAGTGGCCTGAGGTTTCTTCCATTGAGTTATATTATGAAGCTACGAGACGGCCGAGATGATGCTGTCCAGATCAGTGGTGTGCAGAAAAAACAACAATAGAAATTTGGCTGTTGATCTTTTTCACTTTATGTAATATATATAAAAAATAATCCAAGAAGAGTTGATACTTAATAAAATGGATAAGGAAACTTTAAAATACTGTATCTTGAAAACCTAAGTTTAAAGACCCCAGATAGAACTGATTTTTTCTTTAATGGGCAATGTCCAGAAACTGTGGAAAAAGTCTGATAATCCCATAATTGTACATTATTGCCATGTTCTACTGGTATATTGGCTTTAACCCTTTGAGGGTTTGTCCTGTAGTCCTACTTCTTTGAAGCCAGGGTCCAAGCTGTAGTTCTACTCTACGAGCTCAGCTCACTCAGATAAGCTGTGAGTGCTAAATTTGGGCCTAGATATGAGAGAATGCATGAATGTGGTAAGTGTGCATCATGAAGCAAATCCTGCGACATTGCTGCATATTTTCGTATACACCTACCATCCGACTTACGACCTGCTCGACTTACGACCACTCGGCTTACGACCGTGTTTTTTATGCCAAATTTCTGGGAAATAAACAACTATTTGTGTTGTACACAGTGTTTATCCTAAACCTTACAGTATAAAATACAGTACTAACAACATAAAAAGTAAAGTAAAACATGAAATACCAAAATAAAACAATAAAATAAAGTCATTACAAAAATGTTTTGTTGATATTCAGTAGTAAAGTTCGACTTACGACCATTTCGACTTACGACCGGTTTCTCGGAACCGAACTCGGTCATAAGTCGGATTTTAGGTGTATTTTTTATGGTTGTATTCACTGGTTCCTGGCCTCATTTCATAGAATGGAAGATGTATTGCAGAAATAGAGATGATTTTGATTGTTCTTTGTACTAGAAATAGCTTGAAACTGAGCTCAAAATAGCCAAAATGTTCGATTTTTACCGATGTTCAAGGGTTAACAATTAACGTCATGCGTCCAATACATGTCAGCTGGTGGGTGATGGACTGATTACATCGTCTTCAAGTATCTTCTGCTTCTATCAACTTTTCTGTACTTGACTGAAGAAGCCTACTGTGTAGGCGAAACGTTTCATAATAAAGATACCTAACTGTTGCATATGTGTCTTACCTAACAACCTGTCGGTATTTTATACCATTTTAATGTTCACTACTTGCTGGTGCTCAGGCATGGAAGGGGATTTATGGCCCTTTCATTCCTCTTAGGAGCTATCCCTCAATGTTTCCCCCCTTATTTTTTATTCTAATAATATGATAAGAAAGAAGCTAAGGATTAAGGAGTTTATTTCCTTGCATAGTTTACAATGTATAATTACAATATTGATTGGCTAAGTGCAAAGAAAGACTATCATGCCTAGGCATTTCGGGTAGACTAAACCCAATGCTTTACAGACTAATTAATATGCACTAGACATATACAGTAGTGCAAGTACCTTGAATTTCGAACAACTCCCAACTCAATCATGTAAGTGCATTTTTTTAAGTGCTTTTTTAAGTGTATCTTGGGGGGATCTGAAACGGACTTGTCTAATTTACATTATTCCTTATGGGAACAAATTTGTTCGGTAACAGCATTTGAACAGCCTTCTGGAACGAATTTCGGCTGATATTCGAGGTACCACTGTGTATGACATAACCATGGAGTCCCAAGTCCATGAAACAGCTTCCCCTGAACCCCTTTCTGCTACCGCATCTTGTTCCAACCCTGCCTCATTATTTGAGCACTCTTCGGACATTTCTCGTGCCCCTGTACCTCCTGCTGGTGCCGTTTCATCACTCATGCCAGGTACTGGGGTTCCACCTGACTCCTTTGATGCATCTGACCTCCGCACTTTATTGACCATGCTTCTGGCTTCTCCCTCTATGGTGTGGCACTTTTCAGATCGCCCGCCTGTCCCATGTCGGACTGACTCCAGTCCCACACCTAAAGGCCCAAGACCATTACCTGATGATCCTCCTTCACTTCCTTCTCATTCTGCCCAGAAAAGACCGGCATGACACTCCCTCCCCTTATACGCCATGTTTCGAAATACAGAATGGACTAAGTTTTTTATAATAATAATACAATAGACCGTCATTTAGCATAGTAGTTACGTTCCTGAAAATGCCATGTTAGGTAAAATCGTGTTAGATGAACTGAAGAAGTTATGGGAAAAATAGGGTTATGTTTCTGGGAGCCCCCAGAAAGCCAAACAACTTTTTTTATGCCTCTACATCTTAGAAAAATAAAAGTGAATATGTAGCTGTAGTTCATTGTTGTGATGTATTATGTTCTATTTACTGCTTAAGGCTACAAATGTGACAAGAAATAATAGTATTTCATGCCTTAAATTGTGGGTTCTGGTGTTTGTGGATGATTGTGAAGAGAGTGGAGAGTTATGCTATGGCCCTACTGGGCTGAGGTGGATGGTAGAGGCTCTGGTACTGGAGTTTCTAACTTAAGTCATTCAGTCAGTCAGTCAAGTCATTCAATAAGTCACTCACTAAGTCAATCAAGTCACTCAGTAAGTCAGTCAAGTCATTCAGTAAGTCAGTCGTCACTCAGTGAGTCAGTCAAGTCATTCAGTAATTCAGTCAAGTCACTCAGTAAGTCAGCCAAGCCATTCAATAAGTTCATCAAGTCACTCAGTAAGTCCATTAAGTCATTCAGTAAGTCAGTCATGTCACTCAGTCAAGTCACTCAGTAAGTCAGTCAAGTCATTCAATAAGTTCATCAAGTCACTCAGTAAGTCAGTCAAGTCATTCAGTTAGTCAAGTCACTCAGTCATTCAGTAAGTTAGTCATTTAGTCAGTCAGTCACACAAACTCATGTTTGCTTCTTTTTCTGTGTACAAAGTAACACTTCATTATGGCTACAGGTTATCTCTTGTCCAATATCTTTGTTTCTGTTAATTCTAAGACTTAAGTGCTTATACCTCTTCGTGTCACTTTCAGCAACACTGCTATGGCTACTGGGTGTCATGATTGCTTGGCAGATACAAGACATAGTAATTAAAATATCATAACACAATTCACACACAACTGCCTTGTAGCAGAGAAAGACTGGACGCCTATGAATTATGAATGCTGGGATGGTGGGTGGTGTTGGGGAGTGGCAGGGAATTGCAGGAGGGCTCCCGGCTGCTCCACAACAAGGCGGCCGCTTGAGCAAAAGATTTTTTTTCCTTCCCACAAACTGAATCGTGTTAAATTAATTATACGACGTGTTACATAAAATTGTGCCGCAATTCTTCAGTAGTGCAATACCCAAATCATGCCAAATAAACTCATGCTAAATGATGGTCTACTGTAATAATAATATATTTACTACTATATTTACTACTACTGTGGCACAGGCAGTAAGACCAACTGAAGAACCATATCCAAATACACCTACCATCCGACTTACGACCACTCGACTTACGACCGTGTTTTTTATGCCAAATTTCTGGGAAATAAACAACTATTTGTGTTGTACACAGTATCTATCCTAAACCTTACAGTATAAAATACAGTACTAACAACATAAAAAGTAAAGTAAAACATGAAATACCAAAATAAAACAATAAAATAAAGTCATTACAAAAATGTTTTGTTGATATTCAGTAGTAAAGTTCGACTTACGACCGGTTTCTCGGAACCAAACTCGGTGGTAAGTCGGATGGTAGGTGTATATCAAATTGTACACCTCTGAAGCCTGATGGTGGAGGACAATCTGCAGGTGCACGCAAAAGGAAGCACATCATTGAGTCCGGAAGATTAGGACAAGAGAGTGGACCTTCACTCACAAAGGTTCAGTGCGTGTCACAGGAAATGGAAGAAGGTGGTAAAATTGCTACTACTACTACTGGTGCATGGTCATGAGTACAGGAGGAATTATCCAAACTGACTAAAGAACGTGATCAACTACGTAAAGAAAATGAAGAGATCCGAAACAGATTGACCCTGTTCCATGATCTCTTCAGGAACAACCTCTTCAAGGGGGGCTCCTTGGTGTGGTGAAGAGGCTCTTGGTCTGAGGAATTAGACCTGTTGGTCTCCTAACTCAGACTGAACCTAATTACCCCCCAATCCCCCCATTCCCTATCACATCCTCCCCATCTTCCCTTGTTCCTTTCCTCCTCCTCCTCTTCCCCATCTCTCCCTTATTCCCTTCCCCTTTTTGGTCTTTGGGATTCTTCCCACAGGCATACTAGTTCCTAGGTAGGGGGAAGGGTACCGGGGTCCATCCCATTCCATTCAGGTTCTTGGCAGTGGTGTAGTTTGCCATGGAATCTGGATTGCCTGGGGATGTCCCGATCCCTCTCTGGTCTCTCGGGGGGTGGCTTTGGGTGTCTTATGGGTGACGGGTGTATCTCTGGAGGCCGCCTTTCAGATTCCGGGGGTGGTGGCCAAAGGAGGTATGCTTTGTGGCGGATATCCAGCCACCCTCTCTTTTGTCCACCGAGATAGCTCGGCAGATGTGAGGTTGCTATCCCAGATTGCTGGTTTACTGGCATGAAGGGTAGGGTATGGCATGGGTTCCTTGCAGCATCTGCACTACATGCGGTGCTGAGGTCCTCTTGGGCGCGGAGGGAGATTTCCGGCCCTTTCATTCCTCCTAGGAACTATTCCTCCCCATTCCCCCCTTTTCTTATTCTTTTTTTCTTTTTCTTTTCTTCTTTCTTTGTTTTTCTTAAAAACAAAAAGAAAGAAGTAACCTAACCATGGAAGACCCAGTCCATGACCCTGCTACCCCCGGGCCCCTTCTTGATACCGCACCCCGTTCTGACCCTGCCTCGTTTTTTGACCACTCTTTGGACACTCCTGATGCTCCTGTACCTCTTGCTGGTGCTGTTTCATCACCCGCTTCAGTTACCGGGGTTTTGACTGACTCCTTTGATTTGTCTGACCTCCGCTCTCCTTTGACTGTGCTTCCGGCCTCTCCCTCTATGGTGCGGTAATTTTTGAATCGCCAGCCCGTCCCACGTCGGACCAACTCCAGTCCCACTCCTAAACACCAACGTCAATTGCCTGATGATGATACTTCGCCACCTTCTCGTTCTACTCAGAAAAGACCGACACGCCATGCACTCCTTTTCCATGCTCAGTTTCAGAATGCACAATGGACTAAATTCTTTAATTTATGACTGACTTCCTCTATTGCCTATCTTTCCGACCATAGTATTGGTAAGGCGCTCCTATGCCATGTTAGTAGAGATATTTCCTTTCATGCTCTCGAGAGCGGTACTTGCATCATCACTGTCCAGAATGCTACCCAAACTCATGATCTTTCCCTTCTTTCACATATCGATACTATTCCTGTCACTATCGAAAAACATTCCCTCAATTCTTGTAGTGGTACTGTCATTCTGCCCCATACCATCATCCAACAGAATTTCCATTCGTGGCAATGACATTCTTGAAAAGCTGGAACTCCAAGATCTCCCAGTCCTCAAAGTAAACACTTATGTTCTTCCTGCCCACGGGCGGAGACAATACCCTTGCAATGTGGCTCGATTAACTTTTGACAGCCGTGAACTCCCATCCTCTGTTTATGTAGCAGGACATCGGCTACAAGTTCGAAAGGTGATCCCTACACCACAGCAGTGTATAAATTGCTGGCAATTTGGTCACCCAGCGAAGTATTGCAGATCTATAGCCGAATGCCCAGTCTGTGGTGCTGATGACCATTCTAATCCATCTTGTAGTCGACTTCCCTCTTGCCTTAATTGTCGTGAGGCTCACCCTTCTTACTCTCGCCATTGCCAGGTCTACTTAAATGAGCAAGAAATCCGTTGCCTCGGAGAGGCAGAAGATCTCCCATATGCTATGGCGGTTTCTCATCTATGCCTTTGCTGTTATGTTCGCTCCCATGACCTCCGCAATCCTTCCATATATAGAATAATCACTGATGTTAGAAGACATTCTTTAGTTGTTAATCGCCTCTGTTTACTCCGTTTCTTTTCTCTTCGTCTGCATTCGCTCTTGTCTTCTCTTCAGTTACCACTTTTAAATGTTCATGTAGCATCTCACTTTTCCCTGCCCTACTTGGAAGTTCCAATGGCTTGTGCCTGTTCTTTCCCACTGCCATGTGCGAAAGCCCAACTGCCTACCTGGAGTATACCTGGAGAGGGT